CCTTAGGCACTATGCTACAAGTTGATGCTAATCACATAAAAGTCACTCTGAGAATAAATTCTTAAGATTCCAAGGCTTTTTCACATGCAAAAATAGCTCTAAAAAAATATTTGAATTTCTCTATTAAAATGTAGCTACTAGAAAACTCAAAACCAAATCTGGAGTTCACCAAATTCAGTAACACTGCAAGAGTCACAAATTCAAGGTGTCATATAAGAAAAATAGGAAGTGGCCTGGGCCTTGGTGAATAAGGAAGCACACGCCCATCTAAAAGCTGGCAACCATCACTCCCTGTTGTTGCCACAGGATGGCAGGCCTGGTGCAGCAGGCTGTTTATATTTAAAAGAAGCTGGAAATCCGCATTTCTCATGTTCAAACGTTACCTCAAATTTAACCACACACTTAATACTAGGTAGGCCAAAGAAAACTCTTTTATTCTTTTTCAAGACCTCCGGTTTACAAGGTCTGTAGCCAAGCATATTAACATTTTAATTATCCCACTGGTGTTCAGCATCTTCCCAGGCCTTGGCTTTTCCCTAGGATTTCCTGGGAATTATTATCCTATAATTTGCCTCAGTTTTTTTATGCAACCAGGAAGAATTAAGCTTGTACATACAAAATACGAGAGTAGTTTCCGTATTTCATTGTATTTTCCTCATTTCTTTTATGAACATAAAACTGGTACAATTAATAGACATTGTTGAACAAAACAAACTAGTACCATATATAACAGCCAAATCTGTAAGTTGTATGACAATGAAAGTATCTCTGAAAAATGAAAAATGTCTGTTAACAAAACTTGTGATGAGAGATGAATTTACTGTAGATACTTCAGTCACAATTAAGAGCCAACTATCATGAGGACCACCAGATCCCTTCTTTTTCAAGTTCCTTTTGTTTCTTAATTGCTTTTTACAGACTTCCTTAATCTCAGAATCTTTGTGCTAAGGCGGGAAAAAAAATACTACTCTATACATACTATAATTTGAGATGGATAACTAGGACTTAGCTAATGGTCTATGTTTCGTTCTTCTTAATATTTCACTTTTTCCTGCTATATTTATATAATTTGATTATATGAGGTAAAAGTACCTTTAAGAGTAACACTTGACTGTATTTTACATATAAATTCACAATCACTATTGCTTGGAACACTGTTTATGAAACTCTGAATCATTTATGGGCACAATCTAAAACAATGGCATGGCCTGAAAAAGAAAGGCTGACACTGGTAATATTCTGCCCTGCAGCTTTAATGCCTGAAAATTTATTTTCACCATGTTGCAGATTACATGCACTCCATAAACTTTTTCCTCCCTATTTTAACCACCATATAAATGATCTAGCTTTTTGGATTTTATGACTCGAGTTACTGACTCGGCTTTCTGGGTTCTCCCTTGGAGAGGGCCACGCCCGTACCACCACCCTAACTGGCAGCCTTACTTGCATCCATGACAAAGAAAAACACCTGAACCTTTGTTTAAGCAGATGGGGAGAGGGGAAGTGTGGTAACAATGACTACATGCTTACTCTGCATTAAACCCTGGGAACCCCAGGGAAAGCAGTATAACAGTATGAGTACAGGTTATTTAAGGTATTTAGGCATGTTTCACATCTGTAATAAAGGAAATAATACCTTATACAATTTGTAGGATTAAAAATGATAATGTATGTAAAGTGATTAGCACTGCCTAGTCCAAAAAAATACCACTAATGTCACCAATCCTACCACTACCATCAATTTAGCCCTAAAGCTAAACATCCCACTGCAGAATAGACATTATTTAAATGGAATCACCATACACACACATTACTTTCAAGATTTGAACTCTTGAGTTTATAATCACATTAAAATATATTAATTTTATGTTTTAATGCAAAATCACTTACAGAGGCCTCGAAGTCACAACCCAGGACACTGACTACACTGCAGAAACATACCCAAAGAAAACGGGCTAGGGAGAAAAATGAAAGCAAAAAAGAAAGAAATGAAGGTCTGAAATAAAATAGCCCGATTTAACTGTACTCAGCATTATAATGAGAAAGGAAAGAAATGTACCTAATCCACAAAAAATAAACAACTAAAAATAATTAAAGGGCCCCAGATTACAACATTATAAATTGGCATTTTTTAAGGATAAGATTAGACAAAAGGAAGGCAAGGACATATTGTACTCAATTTCCCCTTTTGTAATGTATGCTGAAAGCCTAGAAGTCTGTGAAGGATCATTCTAAATTAACTGTAATGGAAACGAGTCAGACGCCCACTCCCAACTCCAAGCCATGAAAAAAAGTTAGAACTCAAAGAGGAACAAATCTCTTGGGCGCACCAGAGCCCTAGAAAAGAAACTAGGGTGCACACTTTGGTAGAAACTTAACATATTCCCGGCTAAGAAAAAAAAAAAGAGGAGGGACCAAGCCGTGACTGATCCAAAGAGGAGTTTGTGGGGTCGGGATGAGTCTGGGGCGCTCGCTCCAGGGTCCGGAGGCGCCATCCAAGGGAACCTCGAGCCCGAATGGTGGGCATGAGAGCGAGAAGTCAGGAGTCCAGGCTCGAACCTAAGACCTGGGACCGCCTGGCGGACCCAGGGCCCCGGGGCAACCACCCTGCACTCACAATTCTATCATCCACTCTCCTTCCAGCAACTCTCTCCAATTCTCGTCCGTGATAATGCGCACATCACTCCGCCGCCCGTGGGTCCAGGTAGCCCCCCAAAGCAAAACGACCAGAATTGTTAAAGAAACCTCGCGACTCCTGGACGGCGCCATGTCAGCCGCTTGCCCGCCCCACACCAAGAGCGGTAGCCCCCGCCCCCGCGCAACAGCTCCTCACTTCCGCCCTCGAAAGCTGCTCCGCTCATGCGCGTGACCGCGCGAGTGCCTGGAGGAATCTTAATGCGCATGATGGAACTAGTTCTAGTAAAATGAAGAGCGCCTCTCGCTAATGCGCATGGCAGAATACTGTCTCTTCTCTTCTCCTCTCCACCTACGTCCCACGCGTTGGTGCCAGTATTGTTGGGACCGTAAAGACAGGAAAAGTGGGCGTGGCGTGAGAAGTAGGCGGTGCTTTAGAGAGGAAGGGCTCAAAATCCTGTGCCAGAATTTTGGCGCCAAGTGGGAATGTTTGTACTTACTTAGCAAGCTAATTCTAAATATACTAAAGCGGTTTCCAATTAAACGGCCTTCAGAATTCTTATCTATTAAGGACTCTTGGAGTAAAATTAATGCATGTTTATAGGAGTCAGAATATTTACTTCTGACCGGGAAGGTGTAGGAGGGAAACTTATGGGGTGCTCTTTATAGTCTATATCTTGGTCTGGACAATGGCTATACGATTGTATACATACGTAAAAAAAAGAACTATCTAGCTGGACATTTAAGATTAATGTGCTTTATGAAATTTAGTATGTATATTATCCGTTAGTTAAAAAAAAAATCAGTTGATGAAGAGACCCCTGTAACAGAGCTGTAACAAATACTTGAGCTTTTTCCTCAAATATTTGTAAATACAACTGCAAACCAAAATGTGCCCTGCCTTTATAAAGTATTAATCAGTTAGATGTAAGTATTAGCCATTGTACTTCCTCACCTCACATTATCTCATACACTTACTCCAAATGGCTAACACCCACATGCTCTGCTGGTCTCTCCTTATGAACATCAAAACCAATTGATTCTTCTTTATGTTTATCTTGCTTGAAGCCCAGCATCATTCTAGTCACCACACCCTTCTTGAATCACTTTATTCTCCTGCTGTCTCTGGCTCCTCACTTGCTCGTATTTTCTCCTTCTTCATTAGCTGCTCCTTCTCAAATATTTTGCCTGGTCTTCCTCTTCCACTTTATTTCCATACATTGGCATGTCCCAGAAAGCTGTACTGGCCCCTCTTTATATTTATACATTCCCCCAAATAACCTCAACCTGGATTTAAGAGTCATCAATATGACTGTCATTCCAGTCCTCACCCTTCTGGGAGCTTCAGATATATGTATTCCACTCCTTGCTTGACATCTCTATTATGTAACTTAATACCTAATATGCAACTTGTTGTTTTTAGGTGCCATCGAGTTATCTTCAACTCATAGTGACCCTATGCACAGCAGAACGAAACACCACCAGGACCGGCGCCAGTGCTACAATCCCTGCTATACTTGAGCCCATTGCCACAACCACTGTGTCAATCCATCTCGTTGAAGGCCTTTCCTGCTTTTATCGACCCTCCACCTTACCAAGCATGACATCCTTCTTCAGGGAATGGTCCCTTCTGACAACATGACCAAAGTAGGTGAGACGAAGTCTGGCCATTCTCACTTCCAAGGAGCATTCTGGCTGCACTTCCTCCAAGACAGATTTGTTAGTTCTTTCAGCAGCCCATGGTACTTTCAGCATTCTTCGCCAGCACCACAACTCAAAAGCATCAACTCTTCTTTGGTCTTCCTTGTTCATGTTGGCTGCTTAAGCCAAAATCTGCATGTCCTCTTCTGAAGTTCTCACATGCATGTGAGGCGACTGAAAATATCATGGCTTGTGTCAGGAGCACCCTAGTCCTCAAGGAGACATCCTTGCTTCTCAGCACTTGAAAGAGGTCTTTTACAGCTGATTTGCCCAGTGATATACGTCGTCTGATGTCCTGACTGCTGCTTTCATTGGCGTCGATTGTAGAACCAAGCAATGTGAAGTCTTTGACAACTTCAATCTTTTCTGTTTATCATGATGCTGCTTATAGGTCCAGTTGTACGGATTTTAGTTTTCTTTATATTGAGCTGTAATCCATACTGCAGACTGTATTCTTCAGTCTTCATCAGTAAGTGCTTTGAGTCATCCTCATTTTCAGCAAGCAAATTTGTGTCCTCAGCTTATCGCAGGTTGTTAAAGATTTTCCCTCCAATCTTGATGCCACATTCGTCTTTATATAGTCCAGCTTCTCTGATTATTTGCTCAGCATACAGATTGAAAGGATACAACCCTGATGCACGCCCTTCTTGATTTTAAACCATGCAATGTCCCCTTGTTCTGTTCGAACAACAGCCTCCTGGTCTATTTACAGGTTTGTCATGAGTACAATTAAGTGTTCTGGAAATCCCATTCTTCTCAGTGTTATCCACAGTTTGTTATGATCCACACAATCAAAGCTTTTGCATAGTCAGTGAAACACAAGTAAACATCTTTCTGGTATTCTCTGCTTTGAGCCAAGATTCCATTGACATCAGCAACGATATCCCTTGTTCCATGTCTTCTTCTGAATCAGGTTTGCACCTCTGGAAGTTCTCTGTCAATATACTACTGCAACCATTTTTGAATTAACTTCAGTAAAATTTTACTTGCATGCAATATTAATGAGATTGTTCAATAATTTCCACATTGTGTGGGATCACCTTTCTTGGAAATGGGTACAAATATGAATCTTTTTCAGTCAGTTGGCCAGGTAACTGTCTTCCAAATCTCTTGGCATAACCAGGTAGGTCCCTCCCCTTACCTGTATCCCTCTGCCACTTGCAACCTAATCGTAAATTGGCATGGAGTTGGCTCAGATTAATGACAATCTTGATTCATGGTAACTCCGTGTATAACAAAATATCTCCCAGTCTTGTACCATCTTCATGATGACGGTCCTCAATCAAACATAACATGGTCCGAAAATAGAATTTTTGAGTCTCCTTTTCCTAGTGTTCCATCTCATTGAAGAGCCTCAAGGTCCAGCTGGTTGCTGGAGCCAAAATCTACATGCTAATTCCTGATTGCTCTCTCCTTCAACCCCTCTTCAGCCACTCCATTAGAAAGTCCATTAAGCTCTATTTCCAAACATATTTAGAATCTAATCACTAATGTCCGTCTCCACAGCCAACACCCTAATCAAAGGTTCCATCATCTCTTGCCTCAATGACTATAAGGAGTCCCTAACTGATTTCCCTCCATCCTCTGTTGTTCTTCTAAATGAGCTTAAACCACCTCTCCTTAAAATTCCCCAGTTGCTTTCCATTGCACTTGAAATTAAATCCACGTTTCTTCAACTCCTTATTCTCATTTACAAAAAAAAAAATCTCACTGCCATCAAGTCTGTTCCAACTCATAGTGACCCTTCCTTGGGTTTCCGAGGCAATATCTCTATGGTAGTAGATTGTGTAGTCTGAGGAGTGACTGGTGGGTTTGAACCGCCAGCCTTCTGGTTAGCAGTCAAATGCCTTAGGCACTACACCACCAGACCTCTTTAATGATTAAGTAGGGCTCTGCAACTGTGAGGTGCTTGTGGGTATGGCATACTTGTGGGAATAGGAGCATATAAATAAGGTGTATAGAACCCTAATGTGTGGCTTGGTCAATTTTGCCATCCCAATTGGCTTAAAATGAGCCATCCCAGAGGTGAAAAGGGGCAGCCTGTCTACCACCAAGAAGAAGAGACAGGAGTGGAATGTTTCCTGTGGAACCAGGGTCTTTGCACTGGAAACTTCTTAGATCTAGGAGACAGAAATCTGTAACACAGTAGAGATGGTGAGAAGTAGCAGCAGTGAAACAGCAGCAGCTGAGGCAGTAGAACCAAGAGAATGGCAGGAGATGGCACCTAAGTTTCTGGACCCATGGAGCAGGAAAGCTGAGGGCCTTTGGGCAAGAGGCTTGCTGGTAGAGTGGGGTGCCTCTGGGTATTTGGTGGAGCTAAGTTTGCAGATCCACAGAGCTAGAGCTGTGCACCTTTAAACCAAGGCTTATTTGCATAGGGGGTGCAGAGGCTAAAAGGTCTTTGTAACACTTGGCTGAGCAGGGCAGAAGCCAAGGATCCGTAGACAAGAGGCTGAGGACCAGAGAGAGAGGCATGCCTACCAGCACTGCTGAGAAGAGACTGTTCAGGTCAGAGAACTGTATCCTGAGTAGTTTCTCATCCTGAGTTGTATGTAACCTATTACTTTCATAATAAACCCTACAATTGTAAATATTGTCTGTGACTTCTGTCTGGCCATTGCAATGAATTATCAAACCCAGCAGAGAAGTAGTGCTGTGGGAGGGGCAGTTGGTGTCAGAATCAGTAAAAAGACAGAAGAGTAGGCTTATGTCTGACCTCCACCTCATAGGAATCAGACTAGGATTATTGATCTTGATCCTTCTCCTTTCTTGTGAAGTTAGAGGAGGTCAGAAGCCACCCCATACCATTTTTGCACCATTATAATCTCCAGGATTTAATATCAAACCACTGTTAGAGCCTGGTACATAATAAATGCTCAATAAATGTTCATTAAATGAATGAATGAGGAAAATTGTAATTAAAGATATGCCATGCTGTGGTAGTTAAATTTGTATGTCAACTTGGCTGGGCCTGGTTGAGTGGCTGGGCAGCTGGTGGTAGTTATTCTGCATGATAAGACCGGCAATCAATTCCATGGTGAGATCTACCACAAGCGATGTGGTCTGCTTCCTGTATATAAGGAGAAGCCTTGGGGAATAGTCTCTAACTTATGGCACGCTTGAACCCTGCATGTAGCTGTGTCATTGTTCAGCAGCCTGCAGTGCTCTGCTGACCTTGGGACTGACTCTCAATGGACTTAAATTAATGGCTTGCCATGTGGTTTGGTAACATTGGGACTGTGCCTTTTTACTTGTCAACCTTGGGTTTGTCAGTCTCAGCAGCCAGCAGCTGTCTGAGTGAAGAAAAGCCTCTAGCTCCAGTGGGCCGGGAGCAGGAGGCAGAGCTGAACCCCAAGGTTGAGGGGCTTT